TGTGGAGGCTCGCGAAGACCGACCCCCCAGTCGGTGGTCGTGGATGGTTCTCGGCGGCGAGCGAGGGGGGGAAGTGAGAAGGAGAAGGCCTTCCCAGAAGGTGCGGAAGTCCCCCGGCCTTCTGGGAAGTTCCCTGAGCCCTTCCCCGAGGACGACACCACTTCTCAGAAGGCGCGAGGGCTTCGGAGAAGTCCCGCCGCCTTCTGAGACTGGGAAGGCCTTCTCCTTCTCATATCCCTCCCCCCCCTCGCTCGCCGCCGAGACTCCCAGACCCCCGACGTCGTGAATTTTTCATGACGTCGACCCCCAGCTGTCTGGACCCATTCCCCGGGACCGGTTTTTCGTCCTGAGTCGTTTTCTGACGGTCCCGAGGGCCGGTAAAGGCCCCCAGAGGCCCAAAATAATGAAAAACCTCCCGTCGTGATTTTTTCATAACTCGAGGGGGTCTGGGCTCCCCGCCGCGGAGGGGCGGCCTGCCCCGGGGAGGCAGCGCGGGGGTGGCCCGAGCCGATGGGCGCAGCGCCGTATGGAGCGAGGGCCCCGGCAGGGGGCTGGGCCCGTGCGTGGAGCAGGGCGCGCCGCCGCAGGAGAGCAGGCCCAGCAGCGGGCCGCTGGCCGCCCAGCAGCGGCAGCAGCTCTCGGGCGCCACGACGGCGTCGAGGTCGTCGGCACGGCGGCGGCGGCGACGACCACGGCGGCGACGTCGACGACGGCGACGTCGACGGCGCCGCCGACGCCGCCGCCGAGGGCCGCGGCAGGCCACGCCGGGGCCGCCGAGGGCCACCGCAGGCCGCCCACGCGCAGGGAGCAGTCGGAGCGCATGCGGGAGGGCATGCGACATTGCACGAGGCTCTTCCACACGGCCTCCCTCCAACAGCCACAGGGCACAAGGGCACCCTGAGTCCGCACACGCAGAGGACACGACCAGGGATGGACAGGACAGAAGAGCACCCCTGATCTTGCAGGGTCGACCTGCCAATGCGCGCCGACCGTACCCATATCGCTACCCTCGCCTCGTTCTCCCCTTGTTGGACCTCCTGGGAGGCCCTCGTCGCCACCGCCGGATTCGCATCGGAATCCTGGTTGGGACGCAGCCCAAGAGGAGTCTGGGGAGTAGCGGCATCGGTGCCTTTCAATAATATGGGGGGGGCGATCTGTGTGGGAGAGGGGGGGGTGCCCTTTCCGAGCCCTGACGGCCCCCTCTTGGGCCCTCACGGGCCCCCCTCAGGGCCCTGAAGGGCTCCTTCTCTGCAGCCCTCGCTGCCCCCTCCTTCACCGCCCCCCCCCCCTATTACGCGGCCTCCGATCATCCGAAGGATCTGGAAGCCCAGGGGCCTCTCGTAAGCGGACGCGGCCGACCTTCCCTGAGACCCGACGCTGTGAACATCTTCCAGCATCGTGACGTCTCACGAAACCCACGCCACAATGAGACCCCACCTTCCCGCGGCACTTCCGGGGCCAGGTCGGCCCGCGAAATCGCTAGTCCGAAACCGAGCGAAAAAGACGGGTGCGAAAAAACTGCGACGCCCAGATCCCAAGGGGAAACCAACAGACCTAGACCCCAGAGGTCATGTTTTTTCATTACGTCGACTCCCCGAGGTCTCGACCCATTCCTCCGGACCAATCTTTCATCCTGACTTGTTTTTGATTGTCCTGAGGCCTGGTGAAGACCCCCAGAAGCAGATCATGATGAAAAACATTCCGTCGTGATTTTTTCACTACTCGACAGGGTCTGGGGATACCGATACCCCTACGCCCACGACTTCTCCCGGGGTGCGCTCTGACCACAATGCCGTGGCGAAGCCAGCTGTGGCGACGAGGGCATCGCGGGAGGCCCCAAAGATTAAGCCGGGACCGACCGTCCCGGCATTCCTAAGAGGCCTACCACGGAGCGTCCTCAGCACCCAGAAGTGCTCTGAGAGCAGATGCAAATGTTCTTAGAACATCAGCCCGAGGTGTTCAAACAAGACAGGCTCACCCTGACTTCAGATCCGACCTACTTTGGCGTTTTTTCCAACTTAAAATTGCGTCGGAAATCCACTTATAAAAGGCCGAACGAGTAGGGCGGAAATTGCTGCACCCAACATAAAATAGGGCGGGAATCCACAGGAACAGCAGCAGAAAAGTAGGGCGGAAATTGGCATCAGCGGGGCTTGAAAAGTAAGGCGGAAATTCCAAGCCCTACTTACGAATTTCCCCAAAGTAGGGCGGATCCAGAGACAGGCTCAGCCAGAACTGTTCCAGGAACCCCTCGTGCGGACCGCAAAGAGGCTCTCAGAACCTTCTCTTTTTGGCGGCCCCGGCCCGAGCCAGGACGCTCCGCCACGGCCCGGCACCAGGGGATCACACGAGGCAAGGGCAGCGGCAACGGTAATGCGGGATGACGATCAATCAAAAAAACGGGAAAGAACGAGAACAAACATAGTTTCCTGCTATCTCTGCACAACTTCCTGACTGGAGGAGAGCGATTCAGACCATAACTTTCCGGCCCGCGGCCGGTGTCTTCGAACCGTCACCCCGGGCGCCGCCGCGCGAACACGACCACCCCCGGTCATTCATTCATCGTCATCCTCCATGGCCTTTTCCTCCGCTGAGCGCAGGGCTCCTCTCGCGGTGCCCCACGCGCGGGCCGCCGGGCGCGGCACCCCGCTCGCGACGAGCAACGGGGGCGCCTGTTGCCCTTGGCCCCGCGGGCGACGCTCCGCGCACGGGGCAGCTCGCGCGCGCGACGCGGCCCGCGCCCCCGCCAGCCCCGCCCTGCCCGCGCCGCCCACCTTGGGGCCCTCCGCGCGCCAGCTCGGCCCCGAGGACGGCGTCACCGGCGAGGGTCGGGTCGGGCGAATAAGGGGGGGATAGCAAAGGGGGGGTTTGAGAATCAGCTCACGTAGCTGACTTTCCCGGCGCCTCCCGGCGCCGGAGGCGGCCATGTATCGAGGAATGGGCCCCTCGGTGAGGCCGAAACCAGCTGCATGCCGCAAATTTCGTACCCCCCCCTTTCCCAATCCCCCCCTTGCGCCCGGCCCCAGGGGGGGGGGGGGGCAGGGCGACCTGGGCCTCCATGGTACGGCTGAAGGAAGAAGCTGTGCAGCAACAGCGCGCCGACGACAGAGGACCGCATTCTTCCCCCCCTCCACCTCCTGGCCTTACACTCTTGGAATGCGTTGCGGTCGAGATCTTGGGTTGAACCTTTGCTCTTCCGGCCGCTCACCTCCGAGACCAACTGCTCAAGATGAAGGCCGGGGGGGGGGGCGGGGGGGTGTATTCGACGTGGTTCCCCAACTCCTGATGCAAAGTTTTTTCCCTCCACGGCATCACGGGGGCCGGCTCTCGGGTGGGGTACCAAGGGGGGGAAGAGCACCGCATGCGTCCCGGGCTGTGGCCGCCCGCGTCTCCGACGAGGCCCCCCGGAGAACGCGCACGCTTCGGGCCTCCGCCCG